TGTTGCAGTCCCCAGTAACCTGTTCAGTCCACCCCTACCCCTTGCTGTAACTTGTGACTCCCGGTATGTGTATGTGTGTGTGTGTTGCAGTCCCCGGTAACCTGTTCGGTCCACCCTTAACCCTTGCTGCAACCGGTGATCTGCGAAATCAGTAGGTGTGTGTGTTGCAATCCGATAGCCCCGCTCAGTCCTTCCTCTTTTACGTGACCGGTGACTTCCGAGAATAGTATGAGGTGGTCGGGCACCCGGGTAGAAAAGGGGGCATGGGGTTAAGAGTTAGGGTGTGTCCGATAAGCTTTCACTGTCGCCACCGCTCCTCCAAGCTCGAACACCTCCAACCCCTCTTCCTCCTCCATCACCCMCRCCCGTCCACCATAGCCGACCACCTCCAACCCTTCTTCTTCCTCCATCACCCACACCCGTCCACCATAGCCAACCACCTCCGACCCTTCTTCTTCCTCCATCACCCATGCCCCTCCACCATAGCCAACCACCCTCAACCCTTCTTCCTCCTCCTTCACCCACACCCGTCCACCATAGCCGACCACCTCCAACCCTTCTTCTTCCTCCATCACCCACACCCGTCCACCATAGCCGACCACCTCCAACCCTTCTTCTTCCTCCATCACCCACACCCGTCCACCATAACCGACCACCTTTGACCCTTCTTCTTCCTCCATCACCCACGCCCGTCCACCGTAGCCGGCCACCCTCAACCTTTCTTCTTCCTCCATCACCCACACCCGTCCACCATAGGTGACCACCTCCGACCCTTCTTCTTCCTCCATCACCCACGCCTATCCACCATAGCCGACCACCCTCAACCCTTCTTCCTCCTCCATCACCCACGCCCGTCCACCATAGCCAACCACCCTCAACCCTTCTTCCTCCTCCTTCACCCACACCCGTCCATCATAGCCGACCACCTCCAACCCTTCTTCTTCCTCCATCACCCACACCCGTTCACCATAGCCGACCACCTCCAACCCTTCTTCCTCCTCCTTCACCCACAACCGTCCACCATAGCCGACCACCTCCAACCCTTCTTCTTCCCTTGTCACCCACACCCGTCCACCATAGCCAACCACCCCCAACCCTTCTTCCTCCTCCATCACCCACACCCGTCCACCGTAGTCGACCACCATCAACCCTCCTTCCTCCTCCTTCACCCACGCCCGTCCCCCGAAAGTCTTAGGGGGTCGCAAGGGGGATGCACGGGACCTCGGATAGGATCGGTTAGGGTAAGTCAGTGGGCAAGGTCAATTAGGATGTGAAACTTCTTCTTTCTCTCTCTCTCTCTCTCTCTCTCTCTCTCTCTCTCTCTCTCTCTCTCTCTCTCTCTCTCTCTCTCTCTCTCTCTCTCTCTCCCTCTCCTTCCGTTTTCACCCATTCCTTCAAAACTCTTTAACCCTTAACCCTTCCGTCACCCCTTCCACTCCATGGCATGTGACTATCCTTCAAAACTCTTTAACCCTTAACCCTTCCGTCACCCCTTCCACTCCATGGCATGTGACTAACCTCTACCCTCACCTGTTACATTGCCAGGGAACGAACGGAAAGGAACCTTGTTCTCACTTGGTGGAAAGCGAGGGCAAGGGAAGGGCTGTCGGTCCCTTGTGCCACCAAGAAGGAAAGGATACGAGACTATTGAGAACATTTGTGACAGCGGAAAGGAGTGCTGTTTTTGTAACAAGGTCAGTTTGACTCAACCATCTTCCTCGACTGCATGACTAAGATGATGGCATGGTTTTGCTTGAGGGAAGAAAGACAACCCAAGTAACCACGAGGCAAGGGAAACTTAGGCATGTGGGGAGGGGCGGTGTGTTGACCCCAATGGGGATTGCGTTTGGTCTTTGCTTGCGTGGTCTTGTGCAGGTGAGTGTCTGGGAGGGGTTGAGCGGGACTGGATCCGCGGGAAACGTGGGCAAGGATGGAGGAACGGGATAAGGGAAGACCTTAGACTTAGCCTAACTATGAATGCGGGAGGGGATTGAGGATCTGATGCTTGGATGAATGGAGGATAATGCGGTATGGGTTGCATGGTGGATGAACAGGATGACTATCTCCTGTGCAATGCGACGCCTGGAAAGACTAAGGGCGGTCTTGGATAGGTGGATGTGATGTTAGTGGCTCTCGCAAAAAAAATAGCGGCTAGGGGTCCGGGCAACGCCGCCGCACCCCAAGGATGCCGACGGGGCTGCCCTGAGCCACTAGACTTAGTAAAAAGGTGTGTGGCCCAATGGATGACGCTTGGCCTGCGCACGGTAAGAAGACAAACTCTCAATGAACTCCCTGGACTGCTTGTGTATTGGAAGGAGAAATTGCCTGGTCAGACTTAACTGAATCGAGAAAACGCCACGAGTGCCCAAAGAGCTACCATCTTGACGCGAGAGCAGAGCTACATCCCCCAATGTGAAGCCCTCTCGCAAAAAGGCCCATTCCCATCCGTCTCATAGCACCAGGTGGGGATGCCCCTGGGACGAACGACCCGCGCCCTGAGCGTGAGCGTGGGCGGGTCGAGCCAACTAGGACCCCCAGCGGGGTCGACTTAGGCTCGAAAGTCCTTCAGGGTACGGCCCCTACAATGGGCCCAATGCCTATCCTATACCAAGGGAGAGTCCAACTCAAAGAGACCCAACTAAGTGAGAACCATCATGCGACAGATGGAATGGAATTTACAGGGTAGAATGGTAGCGTGGGGGGGCACTCAGGGAGTCACGTCCAAAGTAGATGAAGTCGATAAGGTGGCTGAAGTCGAGAAGGTAGTTGAAGTCGAGAAGGTAGCTGAAGTCGTCAAAGTGGTCGATGACGTCGATGAAGTAGGAGTTGAGTCGACGTCGAAGCAGAGACGCAAAACGCTGACATCCTGAAGAAGCTGATGATGGAGTACCTGATGGTGTGAGTTCGTAGGGAGATAGTAGGTGATCAGAGTGTCAATCGTCAAGACGCCAAGGACGTCGACGAGTGCGTTGTGGACGCGCGGAGGCGTACGTCTGCTGCTGAAGAACGACCTCAGAGGGAGCGGGCTCGTCCTCGGCGATCTCCTCAGTCGGAGGAGGAGGGGGAGGGTCAGTCGGCTGAGTAGGAGCAGATGTCTCAGCACAACGAGCACGATTATATGCACGCACCAACATCCGGGCGTGCTCCAGGTGCTCCCAAGTAGCCTCCTCATCAGGATAGCCCTTCCAACGCACAAGGTACTCGATGCGTGGAGGGGTATCGTCGGTAACTCGGTGAGATACGATGTCGGAAACAACGAACTCCTCGTGACCGTCCACCATGACAGGTGGAGGGCACTCATAAGGACGTCCAGCGAAGCGCTTGGACGGTTTGCGATAAGGACGCAACAAGGAGACGTGGTAAACATCGTGTACGCGAGCCTGCCGGAGGTAATCAGGTAGCTTCACACGAAAGCTGATCGGACTAGCCGCACTATTAGAACCGACGGCCTGAAGGATGCGGCATGGACCGAAGAAACGACGCCTGAACTTGCGAAGCGTATCCGCTTCGAGCTGTAAGTGGCGTGCGTCGACGAGCACATCGTCATCGACTTTGAATGGATGGTCCATTCGTGATCGGTTTGCTCGTGCGGCCATGCGAGTCTGGGAGTCGGCCAGACTCTCGTGTGCGCGCTTCATAATCGCCGCCATGTGCGCAATCCAGTCGTCAAGCGCAGGAGAACGAGTGTCTGGGCGCAACCGGGATGGTCGTAGGAAGTCCGCGGGTACGCGAGGGTAGTAGTCGAGGTCGCAATAGAATCGCGACATCCCGTGGTTGGCGAAACAACGTGGTTGTACGCAATCTCCACGTGGGCTAAGTGTAAGTCCCACTGCTGGTCATCCCCAACAAACTTTCGGAGGATATTACCGAGAGTTTTATTGGTGACCTCCGTCTGACCATCCGTCTGAGGGTGGTAAGACGATGAGAAGCGGAGTTGGGATCCGTACACCTCGTGTAGGCGTCGCCAGAATGTGTTGGTAAAACGCGGGTCACGGTCGGAGATGATGCTCTAAGGTAAGTCGTGATCTCTCACGACTCGGTCGAAGACGATCTCGGCGACCTCATGAGCGCTAATGCAATAACGGCACGGGACAAAATGTGCCCGCTTCGTGAAGCGATCGACGACGACCAAGATAGCATCATGACCGGGCTCAGTGGGTGGGCGGAGGGGACCAATAAAATCCATCGAGATGGACTGCCTACGACCCTCGGGTATGGGTAAGGGCTGAAGTAACCCATACAGAGGATGGTTCGGACTGTTCACCTCCTCGCAGGTAGGACACTCCTGGATGTAGGCTTTGACGAAGTCCTTGGACTTTGGCCAGACGTATAGGCAGCAAACACGAGCCAACATCTCACGGTAGCCCATATGACCGGCAGTTGCCTGGTCATGGAACTCTGCTACAGCCTAGCCACGGAGTTGTCCGGTGGAGGGAACGCAGGTACGTGGTTCTAGCTGACCAGATCTGTCATGCCAGTACACGATGCCGTTCTCACCGAGGGAGTATGAGGGAACGGTTTTGCCACTCCGCAATGTCGCGTGGATGATGCAATAATCCGGGCAGTGACGGTACTGAGTGCGATATGCGTCGATTACCGACTGATCAATAGTGGCGATGGAAATGGCAGCAAGATGGATGGGTTCCTGATTGTGATCAGGACGGCGGGACAAGGCATCGGCGACGCGGTTCGTTTCACCCTTGATGGGCTGAGTGGTGAAACTGAACTCGGATAAGTCACATCGCCAATGTGCTTGTCGAGGGGAAAGCTTGGGCTTCGTGAGGAAAGCCTAGACAACTGAGTTGTCCGTGCGCACCGTGAAGGGCGCCCCGTGCAGGTAGTGACGCCAATGCTGGGTAGCATAAACTACTGCGAGAACCTCACGTTCATTGGCAGTGTAGCTTATCTCGGCAGGCAGTAGCTGGCGGGAGTAGAAAGCGATCAGGCAATCCCCAGCACGAGCCTCGACAGTCCCATCCTCCGCAATGGTCGGGGAGTGACGGGAGGACTGTCAGTGGACGGAAGTGGTGGGAGGGTAGGTGTAAGTCGAGAAGGAGTGTCAGCAGGAAGGGGAGGGAAAGGAGGAACATGAGGATAAGGTGAATCGGGAGGAGAGGGAAACATCTGAGCAAGTACAACTCCTACTGCAAAGTCTGACGCATCAATGGTGACGATGAAGGGGCGATCAAAATCGGGGAGGCGAAGAACCGACGCACAAGTAACCGCCTTCTTGAGGGCGTGAAAGGCGTCCTCACACAGGGGTGTCCAAAACCACGGCGGGTTCCTCCGGAGGAGGGTGGAGGTACGGAAATAGGAATACCTAGCGTATCCCTGGATGAAATTACTATAGTAAGTAGTGAGGCCTAGAAAACTGCGAAGCTACTTGACGGATGTGGGGACAGGCCACTCCGCAATAGCAGTGATCTTCGCGTCGTCCATGTGGAGACCTTGGTCAGACACATGGTGTCCTAGGAAGTCCACTTTGCGCTGGGCAAAGCGGCACTTACTAAGCTTGGCATAGAACGTGACGTCCTCCTGTCGTATGAAGTGAGCAAACTGACGAGGAGAAGTGAAGGTGATGTCTGGGTGGGACCCAGAGGGTCGAGGGCCTTGGGGAGGTAGGTCTGGAGGGGTGTCGCCCGTGGTTCCAATGAAGGGGACTCGATGGGTTTGACCACACTTCGTTTTGAGAATTTCTCAGTCGCCCATTCGGCCTCTGTGCCACGGAACTGGCGAGACCAGTGAGTGCCAAGGATAAAGTCGTACTCAATCTCCAGCACGTCGAAGTATGCGGAGGAATGGTAGCGCCGAGGCGCGTGGGTACTATCCAGTGGCTGGAGGGTTAGGGAGAAGTGGAGGTCGGGGACCGTCTGATCGAAGAAGCGATGCGTCTTGTTATCTCCGAGGGTAACGAAGATAGGAGAGCGAGACCTGTAGGTAGCTAGGTGAGCTTCCTCAACCACGCGAGGATGAACGAAGTCGCCCTGCGAGCCAGAGTCCCATAAAGCGCGGTACACCCTCGTAGATGTCCCCAGGCGAATAGGGATGATGGGGAGGGTGCGATCAAGGTCAGAGAGCAGAGTGAGAAGACGACGCAGGACGTTTACGTGCCTCGTGAGTCGCTCCCGACGAGCCTGAAGGATGCTCAAATCCAGAAGAGATGACACAACGTCATCGTGAGTCGCTAACTGGGCACTACAACGAGCTGTGCGAATGGCACGACTCGCCATAAGTCTCGGAGGGGAAGGACTAGATGCGGCGGTCTGCTGAGCGGAAGACGGTACCTCGACAGACGGTGGGGCAGAGGGAACTGCATCTATCGTGTCCTGAGGATCCTCTAGTGGGGTAGCCAAAGGGGCAAATCGCGACTCGGTGGTCAGGAAGCCGGCTACGTGCGAGGCCTCAACGGTACACTGCACCGTGGCTAGCTGGGTGGGGCTGGCCGGGCGGGGCCGGGGGGGGACTAAGATCGACGCTGGTGAGAAATGTCAGCGTAGTGTCGATCGAGGGTGGCATGGTATGGACACCGTGAGGTGTGTCCATCCTGGCAGCAACGACGGCAGCCGCGACGGGCCTCGAGGGCGGCGCGCTCCTCAGGAGATAGAGCTCCACGAGGAGGAACACTATCTGAGGAACCGTGATCGTGCGGGCGCCAGCCTGTGCAGCCCGACTGTGTGCACGAGCCATGGCGGACATGGCCATCTGCAGGCGCTCGGCCACCGGGACAGTGTCGTCATCCAAGTGATACTGGATGACGTCTCGAAGCTCGATGTCCTCGGGGGGGTCCCCAAGGGTAGGGTCAAGCTCGGCCGAGGTGTCCTCGCCGTACTCTAGAGAACTGTAGCGCCGAGAGAAAGGCGTTCCAGGTCGAGCTGGTCGGTGAAAGCAGCCGGTGAAGGAGGATTAACTGCGTGTGGTACCGCGTGACTGGGTGGCGGCGGCGGTGGGTCACGAAGAAGATGGGGCATCAGAGAAGCGACTCCGCATCTTCTGGTACTGTCGAGCAACCTCGTAGGCCTGCTCTGAGGAGGCGAAGCTCTGTTGCTAGAGCTCGATGCGGTAGTCAGTCGGAAGACTGACTACGAACCTGTTGGTCAGAAGGACCTCAGGTAGAAGTGCCTCATCGCAAATGATGCGGGTGTCCTGAATCACTCTAATGTGACACTCAAGATCAGTTGGTGCGGAGGACCCGCGCCACTGCATTTGGGTGACTCGATCTAATGCGTCGGTCGCATTGTGGAGAGTGATGTAGCGGTCATGGAGGAACGCGATGAAATCTGCAAGAGTAGGAGCCTCACCTGCGTGAGTGCGATGGGAATAATAGTTCTCCCATGCGAAGAACGTGCTGCCTCGCAATTTAGTTGCGAGCGTGGAGCACCACAACGCCTGACTAGTGTTAGTCTGTGTGAGCGCACGTGTGGCAGCCTGCAACCAGTGCGACACACTCATTATACCATTGAAGTCGCGTATGTCCGACAGACGCACAAGGGTGGGACCGTTGTGCTGATGGCGAAGGGAGAGATGTTGATGGGCCTGCACTGTGGCGACAAATGTCGAGGCCGGTGTAGAGGTAGAAGTGGTGGTAGGCTGAGAGTCGGGGCTGCTGGCAGAAGGTCCAGCAGACGCGGAGGCAACAACCGCAACCAACTATGACGGAGTAGTGAGGTAGTAGGGTAGAGGGGGGGGAGCCGGTCGAGGGAAACGAGCCGGCAAGACAAAGGTGGGAGGGGCGGTATAAAAAAAAGAAGGGTGAGAAGCCTGTGAAGGGTGAGGCTGTCTCAGGGAGGGAATCTCCACGTGGAGCTGCGCCACGGTGGCCTGTAGGGTAGCCACCCGCTGGGTGCACGGGGTCGGAGGTGGAGGGGGCGGAGAGAGTACCAGCGGGAGGAGGAAGAACTCAGGGCCGTAGTGTCGCGACCGGTGCAGGAAGTTGGGAAGCAACACCGGGGTGGGTAGATGAAATCGTCTCGCCAGATACCGGTATCTGGGCGACAACACATCACCAGTGGCCGAAGCTGCAGGGGCGGGGGGGGCGGCGACGACCAATGGATGTGCCGCAACAAACGGTATGGTCTGAGCGGCAGCAACACTCACCACTGTGGAGGGGGAGTGTTGGGCCTGACCCGCGGAGGAGGACGAACCACCACGTCTCCGTCCCTGGAGTCGTGGAGAGCTGGACTCCGAGCCGGTAGGCGATGGAGTCTGAGAGCGGTCGAGAGAGCGATGAGGAGAACCCTTGAGGCGGTGAACTTCAAGGGCAAGCGCATTGACTTGCCTCTCCAGGGGTGCAAGCACATCGAGTCGCGCTTGCAGAGGTGCAAGGAGAGACGCAAGAACAACGCGGAGGTTCGTGGGGTCCACAGAGGGCGAACCCTTGACCGTCGGGTGGGTGGACGCCTGAGAGATGAATGCCACCGCGACAATCTCCTCAATCGTAGCCCTGTCCGTGGGCGGTGGAGGAATAGAGGCAGACATTGTGGGAGGTGGGGGGAGAGATGGGTTGTGGCATGGGGACAGGGGACCACCGGTGAGAGGGAGGGGACCGCGAGAGCGGAGTGGGTAGTCGTGGGTCGGCTTGCCCCGTGACCAGCGGGTCGCGCGTGAGATGGTGGCGCGAATCCGGTCGAGGGGAGAGGAGTCGTTCGGGTCCAGGGTGCCCGACGGGAGGAGACGGGGGAGTAGGGGGGTTAGGAGAACCCTAAACCCTAGAAAAACCCTAAGAAAACCCTAATCGGGATTCGGGTGGTGAGGGGAGGGTAGTGGCGACCTAATCAGGAAAAAATAATAATAACCATGGACGGGAGGTGGAGAGAAAATAAAATAAACAGTAAAATTTTGAGATAAAAATAAAAGAAAATAAATAATAAAAATAAAGAAATAAATAAATAAACAAAATGTGAAAAGAGAACTGACATTTATTTTTTTGGAATTTTCGGCAGCATTTCCCTACCCCCCATGGGGTCAAGAATGTGCCAAGAGGAAGGAGAGACCAAGATAAGCACACAAAGGTTCAAAATGCTGCAAACTATAAATTTCAATAAATAAATAAATAAATAACAATTAAATAAATGGGGGGATGAAAAGTGAAGAGAAACTAAGTGTTGGGTTTTTTCAAAAATTTTGGCAGCATTTCGTTACCCCCATGGGGTCGAAGTGTGCCATCAAGAAGACGGACACGACTTATTCCACAACAAGACGGACACGACTTATTCCACAACGAGACGGACACGACTTATTCAACGCCGTTGTAGAAAAACTTTGCCAGCACTTCGCTACCCCTAAGGGGTCAAAATGTGCTAAAAGAAAAAATTAGAAAATTTTGGCAGCACTTCGTTACCCCCACGGGGTCAAAATGTGTGCCGAAAGCAAGAATGACCGACTCCTAATCAGATTTGAGGGTGCCACAAAGAAATTCAAATTTTCAGAATAAATAATAAAATAAAATAAAATAAATCAGAAAATAAAAAAAGAAAATGGGAAATAAGATAATTCGAATTTTTTGGCAAAAGGGGGAAATATAAATCAAAAGAAAGATAAAAAGAAGAAAAAGTTAAAAAAACAGAAAAATTTCGAAGTTGGGGGGGAGGGGGATGAAAAAGTGAAGGAGAAAAAAGAGAAATAGGTGAGAAAGAGAAAAAGAGTAAAGGGGGAGATGGGGGAAGTGATGGGGTTGTAGTTAGGGGGGGAAGAGGGAGAGGAGGAGAGAGTAGTGGTAGGGTTAGCAAAGATGATTAGAGAATTGGGGGGGGAGAGAAAGGGGGTTGGGGGAGAGTAGGTTAGTGGGTAGGATGGTGATACCGAGCTCTTGGGTGGCCAAGAGCAGAGCACTACCAAGATCCACAGGGTCTTCGCCTTCAAGATGCTGCTGGCCTGATGCAGCCACCCAGATGGCACTGTAGTGCATCCCCCTAGCCTGGGGGGTCTTCAAGATCCACAGCAAGCTGCCACGTGGCACTGCAGAGAGGCAACACATAGCCACATGTGCAGGCGGCAGCACCCACCACCCGGTGCGGGGGGGGGGGCAAAAAGTTGTCTTCCCGCTCGCTGCTCGCTGCTCGCGGACCGGGGGGGGGGGGGGGTGTAAATAGCTGCTGTGGCACTTCTTCAACAGCAGCAAGCCACAATATAAGCTCACACTATGGCTTTGGCCAGTGCGTTAAGGCACTGGCCACGCACGCGCATGAGCAGCAACTGCCCAGGTTCAAACCCTGGTAGCTGTGACATCCCGCATCTTGATTAATATAATCCGGGAGCGGGGCGGGGCAGCGGGCAGCGTGGGCGTGTGCGGCGGCCTTGGCCTTGGCGCACGTGTCAGCCTCTGCAGCGCCGTTATTTCGCTGTTTCCGCCCTGCAAAACCCTAAAAATCCCGCTATCGGGATTACACCGATTTCTCCCTATTACGGGAGGGTGGGCGGGTTGGAGCGGGGACTGTTCCCGCTTTGATACCAGTGTGCCGGACCCGCCGGGATGGCGGTCCGTCAGGATGGAGCAGAAGGGTTGATGAAGGAGGAGGTAGAGATGGAGTTGGAAGGGACAACGCAACTCCGACGTAGACTCAACACGCACGTACTCCAAGATGTGCAAACGTGAAGAATGATTTGAAAAACAGACAACATTTGGGGTATACCCCCAGCGGACTGATTGGACTGGACTAGATTGGCCTGGTACCGACAGTGGTACCGGGCAGGACTGGACTGGACTGGAACAGTACACGGCCTGTGGGGTCAGGCCACGGCCTGGTCCCATAGGCCGAACTGGCAAGTAGCTGAATAGGCCCTGGCTGTAGGCCAAGGCAGATGAAGGCCCGTTGCAAAAGATCACCCCATCGTGGGGATCATAGCTAACTAGAGGTTAGATTGATTGAGCTTGTTGTACATCCCACAAATGTATCTTGTGGGTTGGGCCCCGTTAAGCCCAACCTGACAAGCCATTATTGTCACGCGCAAGCCTCTCATTTTAGTCGCGCGCAAAAGTAGATGGGCAGGGATATTCACTAAGCCTTCGAAATAAATGAAAATACACCCTTTCTTCCCATAAATCCTACTTTTATAAGTAGTTTTTTTCACTTTCGTCACACAGTTTGTCGACTCCATCCATAAGCTTTGCTCAATGAGCAAGCTCTCATAATCTTTCTCTTAGGTAAACTCAATGCTCTTATTTCTCAAGATTCCATACTTATTGACAACGACACTTTCATCCAAAACTAAAGCCAATTGGAGGGTCCCAAAGTCATGTGGGTTTTCCCGCCGCGGATGACGCTCCCACCGGCTATTAGTCAAAGTTTAATTTCTCTCAAGGAGTCTCAATCATGGAAATCACTGTCACATACTAGACCGCTTGCAGCCCATGACAAGTTAAGTGAAGGACTTAGAACCAGCAGGTTCCCCTATCACCAGTGTTGCCTTTACCAGCTATTACGTGAGTTAAGCAAGCGGGGGTGCCGATCCTGAACGGTTCTTTCCTTACCCTCTGCCACACACAAAACCGACTGCGACTCGTAACCACTGGCCAAGCAACGGTTCCAGAACTTGACAGGTTTTCCCTGCCGCAGATGACACCTTCACCGGCAGTTGAGAACCAACAGAGCGGAGTTGCCTATTTGGCCGAGGATAAAACTCTTACTCCATTAAAAAAAAATTAAGCCATCCTCCCTATTGAGAATCAGCCGCCCTTAAAATTATTCAAAACAATCCTCCCACTCGAGGATGAACTATCCATAAGAACCATTAAGACCCCTTCCCACTTGAAGGAGAATCAACCATAAAATATCTCAGTCATCCTTCCATATGAGGATGGATCATCCATACAGCCTTTAAAACATCTTCCACTTGAAGATGAGTCCAAATGAAGTAAATAACCACTTAGGCCGCCCTCGGGCATAACCTTTATGTTAATATAATTTTCTAGACTCTTCGAGTCTTCCAGAAATCTCCCACTGATAATCACACATTCTTTACTTCATCAAACCTTCTTTGGTTCGGACACACCTTATTCCACGTTTTGCCACCCTTTTATTCTCACATTGTTAACTTTTTCTTTGTCATATGTCAATTAAAATAAAACAAAGAGAAACTCACAAGGACACAATGGTGAGAATGTTAATGACAACCAAAATACGCACGATTCTGCGATACGGGGGAATCAAAATCCATACCAAAATGGTTCTCAGAAGAAAATCAGATTATCTCGAGTCTCACATCCTCACAAGCCTCAAATCACTACAAACCTGGGTCCCAATCAGAAACAAATGACCTTATATAGCATACCCTATAAGTCATAAAAGACTGGTATACACAAAATGATTTCAAACGTTCTCACTTAAATGAGTGATTGCCAACGTACGGAGTACAAGACTTCCACTTGCATCCAACAAAATTAAAGTCAGTGACCTTGGTCTCAGTGTGTTCTTCCATGGCATCTGTGACCACCGCAACTGCCGTGTCGCCTTTGGTCTCGGTGCATTCCTCCATGGCATCTGTGGCCATGCCTGCATTACCACTTGCAGAGTCCCCTCTTCGAGTCTCACCTACGACTGCCCCCCCTGTCTCTGCTTCAGCCACTTCACCACCCCTGACTTCATCCCCCCCGTCTTCACCGCCTTTATTTCCCCTGGTTTTATCCCCGTCTGTTACCCACCTTCCGACTACTCTACCACCCCTGTTTTCACCACTCCTACCTCCCCTGGTTTTGTCTCCATCTGTTACCCCTCTTCCTAATCCACAAACCACTTCGTCCACACAAACTCCGTCATCATGTTCTGCCCTTGCAGAAAGCCTACTTCGCCGTCCTAGACGCCGACTTCGACCTACTTCCCAACCTCAGTGTACTCCCCTTTCCTCCATCTCTGTTCTTGGACGAAGAAGAACCTGTTAATTCTCCCCACCACGACCCCCTAACATCCCGTCCCCGTCTTTTGCCGCCCCAAGCATCCTTACCACGCCTGCAACGCTCTTCGACTGCAGACCTTTCTGCAACGCGGCAAACACAAAACATGAGGGATGATGGCGAGGGACCATCTGAGGATGAACTTGGCAAGGGGACTGTAGGAGATTTTGTAGAAAATCCGCCTGATCGGCCTCCACCGAATCTGTGTGGCCTCGCTGCTACTAACATATGCCTACAAGCCTATGATCGGGAACCATATACTCACTTTGATTTATTGGCCATTGCTTCCGATCTTGATGCTCAGGAACGTGAGTTATATGGCGATAACCCGACTCTGCGTCCCCCACAGGATAGTAATTACACTCGACATAGGGGATTTCATGTCCCTGTTTTGGAGACTGCTTTGATAAGGCGCCAACTTGATATGCAACGTGCCCCTTCGGGTGGCGACCCGGACCATTGTTCGCACGTTTGTGCCTATATTCTACATTCTCCTGGCCATTACACCGCTCTTGTTCGTGCTTCTGGTTCTCGGGAATTATGGAATGGAGGTGCTATGGTGCAAACTATTACTGCCATCTGTGATCTCGTGCATAATTACCCTAACTTGCAACTGTTCCAGGTCATTGACCCTATGGGCACCTCGTGTACTTCCATGCCCGCCTCTACGCCCATCTTTGTGCCTGCCTCCATACCTGTCTCTGTGCCTGTTTCTGTGTCTGTCTCCTTCCAGATTACAGACTCTATGGGTACCACGTGTACTTTTGTCCCCGCCTCTGCACCTGTCTCTGTGCCTGCCTCCACACTTGTCTCCATGCCCATTTTTGTGTCCGTCTCCGTGCCTACCTCCATGTTTGTCACCGTGCCTGCTTAGTCTTTATTCTTCCACATGCTGCACTAACACCTTGTGACCTCCTTCTTTGTGAGATCACTGATACAGTTACACTTGGTTGTGGAAAGCATCGACTTTGTCGGCATCACTACAACTGTATAATTTTTCGGACCCGCTGTCGGCAGGGATGCCACCTGTATCTGGATTGTGAACATCCTCAACATCCAGATGCTATATATCCCATCTGTGCCTGCGAGCGCTATAGCGAATGTGCACTTAACTGTGATGGTGAACGCCCCACAATCGCCATGGTCTGCAACCAGCATGCCCTCTGTCGTGCATGCTTCATTGGTATGGTTAATGCTAGCCACCCTGGCTCCTGTTGTGGCGAAGTTGCTTACCTGAATGGTTTTCGTCCTGTAGATCAGYGGGAGGGCTGCTACGATCGCCCRCATMCTTATGACAATTGTCCTATCTGTCGTGAGGGTCTTACTTAGACGTACCTTGCACCCTGACAAAAATGTGCAGATGAGCTGAAAAGAGTGTACAAGAATGTGCAAAGGTGGGGAACCCTTCACTATAACTGCAAAACTGTGAAGAATGCAGTAAAAGAAGAACATAAGTTTGTGTCATTTTACTTTTGTTTGTACCTTGCACCCTAACACCCTCAAAAGAAAAGTCCGAAGGGTGAAATGAGGATGAAAAATGGAGGAAGTGCAGGTGCGCTTAAAAGCGAACGTGGTAGACTCTTCATCAAAACTGCAAAACTATGAAAGAAAGAAGAATGTTGTAAAAGAAAGAAAATGTTTGTATCAACATTTTTTATTTTTTCTCCCTCTGCCTATTGGTTTTCCTTTTCTACTCCTCTCTTCCTTATGTTTAACACTTCCTCCTTCACTCTGCCTCTTTCCCATAGCGTGCAAGTGGGTTGTTATGGCATACGGGGATGGTGGCAGCTCGCGCTCAACTTCATCAACGTGGCGAGCCTTGTACGGGGAGGCGTTAAGAAGACTGAGAAATTGAATGATTTCAATGTGTCTTTGTTTTTTATTTTTATCCTTTGATTCAGTGTTTTTTTTTTCATAAAACACTGAAAGAAATAATAATACTGTGAAACAAAGAATAAGAGGAACTGTTTTGTGTCATTCTGGTTTGTCTGTCTTTTTGCCTGTCTGTCCTTTATTTTTCTTTTCTTCGCTCATCTTATTTCTTCTTGTACTTCACTTGCTTACGCTCTTAGTCAATAGTTCTAGATATATATATATATATATCGTCACAAACAAAACTGCCCGGTAAAAACCGTAGGCAGAGGAGAGAAGAGGACAACAAACATGGGGCTGTGACAAACTGTTTCGTCGGAGTTTCACCGACTATATATCGTCACAAACAAATATATATATAGGATAACCGGCGTTCGGGACGGGCCGAACGCCCGAACCCGAACGCCCGAACGTATGGGACCCCTTGGGGATGCGTTCGGCCGTTCGGGCCAAACGCGGACCCAAAAAAAA